ATATGCTTGTCCAACGGGGGCTCTGGGGCTCGCTCAGGCCTTGCTCTCCGCACCTGCTCTGTCCTGTGCTTTGTCCGTCCCATTGCACACATCAGTAAACTGTCTGTCCATGCAGCCTGCCCAGAGCATCAGGAAAGAAACCACCTGAGCTGGTCTGAGGGCACTTGCAGAGCACGGCGCTGGAGGAAATTCATCCATGCCCCTGCCCTGGATGCAGCCCTACCGTGCACCGTGCAATGAGGGAGGTGGCCTGCACCAGCCTGGCCCAGGACTAGCAGAGCTGGCGGCCTACACAAGTCTCCCATCTGTCCAGTTTCTCCCACAGGCTGAGGGAGGAAGCACAGACTGAACCTGTGTCCCGACCCAAACCTGTGGAACGTGGAGGGCCTGGTGTCAGTGCAGGTCACAGACCCTGTTGGATTAGTAATTTTATTTTACTTTGTATTTATTTTATTTTTTTGGTACCGGGGATTGAACTTGGTAGGCACTGGAACCATTGAGCTAAATCCCTGGCCTAGGATTAGTAATTTTAAACAAGTACCTTAAACTATTTGAAGGACTTAATGCCAAGAATGCATGCTTAAGCTGTGGTGTTTTAAAGTTGTGTAGTATTTACGCATTTGAGGCGAGGTAATATTTTATTCACAGTATTAGGGTTACCGAACAGGTTTTAAATTTCTGGATTGGTCTAATTCGTGGACTTGTTAATTAAGGACTCATCTACTGTATTTATCTTTTTTTGTTTGTGTGATTACTTCTTTGGCTACTCCTAGTAAGAAGTAGTTGATTGAGACATGTCTTGGGGGAAGCAGGTAACATTTGCTGAGCTGTATAATTTGTGGTAGGTTTTTTAGTAGTTTACATGGGGAAGGCTGTTTTTAAAGATTGGCAAATGAAAAGAGGCTGTTAGATTATGAAATAGCATGTTAGAATGTTCTAAATCTGACTGGGACAGAGAAGTAAAAGATGTTAGCAGGTGTGGGGTGCGTGTGTGTAAGACACGAAGGAGTGATTAGAATAGGGAGGAAGAAGACTAGTAAGAGGCATGAAAAGCCTATGTGGGTATTTTTGAAAGTGCTAAGAAAAGCATGGTGTACAGGGCAGTAGATAAGTGAAAACTATCTGTATTGCTGATTGGGCGTCTTGTAGTTGCTAAGAGTAGGGTGGGTATGGGTGGAAGAGCATGGTAATTAGCACAGAATAGATGTCAGCTGGACAAGTGTTGTGACAGGAGAGCAGCACAGTAGAATAAGCAGCATCCTAAGCAAAATCCTTAAGCTAAGAATCCACAGAGCTGGGTGTTGGTGGCGCAGGCCTGTAATCCCAGTACTTGGAAGGCTGAGGCAGAAAAATTAGCAAATTCAAGCTCAGCATGGGCAATTTAGTAACGTAGTGAGATCCTGTCTCAAAATAAAAAATAGAAAGGGAATATAGGTCAATGTGAGATCCTGCATCCAATCCTTGTGCTGCCAAAAAAAGAACAATCCACAGGTTGAGGAAATTGTGGAAGAGATACTAAAATAAAAATTGAAATTATAAGCCTGTTTTTAATACAGCTTGTGTTTTAAAATAAAAATAGAATAAGCTGGACATGGTGGCACATGCATGTAATCCCAGCACTTGGAAGGCTGAGGCAAGAGGATCGCTGTGAGTTCGAGACCATCCTGGGCTACAAAGTGAGTTCCAGGTCAGTCTGAACTACATGGTGAGACCCTGTCTCATAAATAAATAAATAAATAAATAAAATAATTATGCAGTAGCATTAAAAATTAGATCTAAGTGAACATTATTCACAAATATATGATTTTTTTTTTTTTTTTTTTTCCTTT